TCAATAACTACTACTACAGCTTCCTCTAGCACTACCTTTGCCACTGCCCCTGTCACTATCACTGTCATCATAAGTAGTCTTTCTGATCGGTTCTTTAAGTGTATTCTCTATATAATATACCTGAAGAGGCTCAGTATGAAGAGGTCCAGTAACATGGAGCCTCTTGCAGAGGCACCCTTTGTTTGTGGTGGGATGTTGATGCGGAATCGGGCACACACCATAGGCGAGCGTCCCCAGATACACCCAGGGACTCGAAGAAGAGCAAGAGAATTGCCTGGAGGCACTGTTGTCTGAGAAGGCTACAGGCTAAGGTAAGCCATCGAGCCGAAAGAGGCTATTGAGGATCATCGAGGTATGCCGAGTAATATTTTCTGTTCTGAGACTGGATTGGCTCTATGGGTAACTTCATTGTTGCAATTACGTGCAACTTCACTGTCGGTAGCACTTCCTCGTTGAGGACAAACATGCCGTACCAGCATGCCTACCACGATAGAGACGAAAGCGTTGCCTCTTTAGCTAACACCAATGCGACCAAAGCCGCGAAGCAGCGACGAGACGCGTTTACGAGAAGTCGAGTCTTTCGTCTTCTTGGGAAACTCCAGCTTGCGAACACCTGAATTAGAGTTGCTGGCACTTACTGCAAAGTAGATACCTTGATGCATTATAGTAGCCAAGCGTGACATACACTCATCTGCTGAGATCTGCGCGGGCAACAATATGACAGTGACCACTGAGACGAAAGACAATTTCACGTCTCATCCTACCCGATTCGCAGCTGTTGGAATGGCCGCATGGCTATGCTGTCGGGAATAATGAATGGGTGGGCGGCTAGCCGCATCTCAGGTCTAGGTTCGACGATACGTAAAGTAACCCGGCACCCCCGAGAAACAGGCTATGCCAAGCAAACACATACTGCTCTAGGCAAGGAAAGAGAATGTAAACGAAGAATGGAAAGGCCTAGCCACCAAAAGTTCATACACAATCTCCCCATTAGCTGAGATGTCAAAAAGCAAAAGGATATCATGATAGAGACGAGATTCGAACTCGCGCGGTTTCCCACTGGTGAAGGTAACTATTACGTAAGCCTAAAACCAGCGCCATAACCACTCGGCCACTCTACCTGATCTTATTTGATGATCCTTGTGGTCAGGAACGTATCTATGTTGGCTGGGGGCCAGTTTTTGATGCGGATGGCTGAGTTCGGGCGGTGTGGCGGGGAGTGGTGGGGTTTGCTGACCTTGGTGGCATGGGACGGATGCGCTAGTCCCAATGTGGGTCCGTGTTTATGGGGCCAGTAAGAGGTGCTGGTCGTTTTGCTTTTGAGATGCATTGTTTATGCAAATGGTTGTTCAACTGGTGTGACAGCGAGTGCGCGTTACCACCCACCAAGCAAGTCACCACTTTCGACTGAAGAAGTGGCTTATGTCTAGCATGGAGGAAGACGTATCAACAGTGAGAAGAGTCATTCTAGTTTCCTAGAAATTGGAGAGATGTGATCTTGTTGTGGTGGATGTGTTATGCATGCATGGATTATGCCAGCCACGTTCAGCCACATCCTACCAAGAGTATTTCCCTCCTGATAACATCTTTAGCTGCACCAACAGCTCACAGCACAACTCATACCTGCCGTAGTTGACCAGCTGCCCTGGCCATATTCGCGATTCCATGACATCAGGAAGCTTTCCAGTACCTTGAGAAGTTGGAGTTTTCCAGACACCCTTTAGGTTTCACATAAGGTTATCGGAACCTTCTTCAGCTTGTTACTTCTCCGCAACGATGAGGTGTTGTCACTCCACGTGATCGTCTAGCTGAAGAAACCCTCAGATCTGAGTGTTGGCGGCCGAGCCCGAGATCCGGCGCTCCCCCGGGGTAGCCCGCTTATCATCGCACACACAACTGAAGCGAGACTTATGTTCATGTCGTGAGCATTCTTCAAGTCCAAAACATCCATAGCATTTCATGACAGCATCACATTGCGATTACACCTTGCTAGCATGGCAAACTCCGGACCGGTCGTTCCCAATGTGGCGCGAAGCCATGGTACTCGGCCCCGAGTGGGGCCAATGCAAATTGGCCAATCATACCGGAGTATGTCGGTAAAAGCGGGATAGCGGCCGATAGCCGACCGGTCTCGTCCACTTCACGGATGCGCAAGTCAACTGTTCTCAAGGCAATGTTTCTGGAGTCATCGAGGACATTCAGATTCCCTTCGACCTAATGGCTCAACCACAGAAGTATTTGATCGCTTGTGTACACGTCAAGCTGACGTGCCTTAACAAGCGGCGCTTGTTTACACGGGATACACATTTGACTGACTTTCATTAGATTGGTTTGACACTGTTTGCCTTTACCCAAGGGCGTCGTGATCGCTCCAGTTAAAGGCGCATTGTCTCTCTCCGCAAAAAGTAGCCAAGCAACAAGACTGCGCCTTGTCATCGGCCTCGTCCATTCAATATGCCTTACTGGAAGTAGTATCTTAATGATCCCCTCGCATCATAGACACTATCTTCTATAAGAAACTGCTCGAACTAATTTTATCAACTTTATTATTACTCGATCCTCTATTCTTATCTATGGCCCGTCGCGGGTATTATTTCTCTAATACTTAATTACGTATAAGTAGGGTATTTTAATTATTTTTATTATATTTATTATTTCTCTTATACTTATTATTTTTACCTTCTTTTCTACCCCTCTTATCCCTTTTATCCCTCTTATCCCTCTCGTTCTTCTTATTCCTCTCGTCCCTCTTGTCCCTCCCGCCACTCTTGTCCCTCCCGCCACTCTTGTCCCTCCCGCCCCTTTTATCCTTTTTATACCTACTATCCCTGCTGTCCCTACTATCCTTATTATTTTAATTATCCCTGGCTTTTGTTTATATATACGGGGAGGCGTAATATATTAGTAATGGGTAGTTTTAATAATAAGGCTAATGGTATAAATGATAAGTTTATTAGAAGTTATAATTATAGATGTATAGAGACTAAACGCGGAGCACAGCATTAATAGAATGCTGGCGAAAGTAGTGCTACTATAGGTTTATGACTGATAGGATTTCCGAAGGCTGGCCTCGGCGACCCAAGTTGAGTTTTTGATTCCCAAGAATGTGTATGGCATTGAGTTCGTCACCACTGTCACTTGGTCAAAGGACCTCTCGGCGCCAGGAGATGGATTCGGCCTGATTTAACACTTTCAGCCTGGCCTCATCTCATGGGGCGCATTCCCTTTCACCCTCGCTCGCAGACCCAGCATGGTGTCGAGGGCGAGTTCGCCAAGGTTTGTACTGCGACTACGATGTAAACCTTCCTGTTTCCCGTCCGCGAACGACCCAGGGAAGCAGACCCTGACGAGAACAGAGAGACTCTGAGAAACACATGGAAAAGCTCGAAGTGTCGACAGCTATGCGCTAGCATGAACGTTTGAGAGACTGGAGGCATCAACACATCTTTGGCCACTGACATTATATGCATACTGGAGGATGCTCATGAGCCAACATTGAAGGCCTTCTTTACTACGCAACGTATCATCAAGCCGACATCCCTTCACCCTCACCCCCCCTCCCATCCTTTCAAGAAGGAAAGGAAATTTGTGTCACCTTGCCTGACGAAAGCCTCCCCTCTTCACCGAAAGATATCATTTGCTGTCCACGTCTATGTCGCTACCAGGGTTCTGCTATGAGCCACAAGAGAAGCGATGCCCAGAACGGGCGTCGTTATTCCTGAAGTTGTAGGGATAACGGACCAGAACTTGACTGCTGATGCACTGGCCGCGCCACCAAGTCCGCCTCGTGATGTGGTCTCTCATTATTTTTCGAGGAACTTCTTCCATATCCGCGTTCTTCCGATCTGCCCATCAAACCACCCGGCTTGCCATCAAAGAGCTTGCCATTTTGATCTTGCATACCTGCATCAGATGACGTGGTGAGCACTGGTCATCATGACACTTTGACCGACGGCCCTGGAAGTGACCAACATGTCGCTGGGGCTTTGAAAAGAGAGTGACTTCCTTCCAGCTTCCTTCCTTCTGTCGGTGGCGATAATCCAAATGAACTGGAACATGGTCTGTCGTGTTTGAACATTTCCGACACCTAACATGAAAGCCACAACCCGGCAATACAGGGCCTCGAGCACCTCTGAAATAACCAGAATCTTCGCGCCTGGAGTTCTGTCGAGAATGACCCGGACGACCTGAAGGGTCGTTTGAATACTAGACTCCTCGAGGAGTTGCTCGGGCTTGAGATTGCCCTACTTCTGCTTCTTGCCTCTTGCTGCAGACGCTCGGAGACCATTTTACTCCCTCGATTCAAGATGAACGACAGCATCTTCGTCGTCATTCATATCGCCAACGTTGTGACCCTAATCTCTGTCATCGTTATCTGAGGCGTTTTGGTCCCGATGACATTATCGCGGCAGTTGCTCCCAAGCAACGTAAAAATCGGCAGGAAGGATAAGACGCAGGCTTGAGGAGGAGCGGTTCCCAGCACGGCTTCGTGGCGGACTTGCGCGACGCCCGTCGACCTGTTTCTGAACATGGAGACTCCCTGGAAATTATACGTCAGTACGGCGATTTCAACTGTGCAACCCCAAGACGCGACGCATAGAGGACGGTGGCTGCTCGCTTGAAGACGAACACATCATTGAATGCCCAAAGGCGGTATCCCACAAGCTGACTCGAAGGGTTCATGCTGTTCGATGCGCCAAAGACCCCAAAGAAATACCCGTGAGCAGGACTCTTGCGCTGGAAGAGCAAAACCAGTCCCTTATATTGAAGGGCTTTGCTGGCGGCGACGTTCTACTCCGGGACTGTGCAGACTTGACGTCGAGCATTCACATGACCTTATGGACAAGTTCTCCTGTGAGGTTATTCATATAGTGAATGAGCTTCATCTCCTAAAACAACAAGAAATTCCAGATCTCAGAGTTTCCATGATGCTGTGAACAGGAGGTAGTCTCCTTTTCACGCCTCATCGAGATCCGAATCGAATCCTGGACAGGAACGAGTTAGGGGAGCGTGACTTCCAATTTTGTGGCGACCCAACTTCCTTCATATCTCCCTAAGACGTATTGATAAGTGACTAGAAAGTAATGACATTGCTCCTGAATGAACTCTGCCGAAGTCATGTTCTTGACTGCTAGGACGAGCGTCCGAGGCTTGTGTCCCTCCTCAAGTTGAGCAGAGGTTCTGCTGGGGTAGACGGTCGTAGACCATCCCCTTCCGAAATGACTATTCAACTCGAAATTCAACACGTCAATGGCACGTTTTGGTGCTACTATCATTACGGCTCCTTCGTGAGACGCACCTGTGGCTCCGGTGGTCGTTGTGATGGCCGTCCTGCTAAGGCACATTTCGTCTGCAAGAATAGCCGCAGTCAGCGAGCCCTTCACAATTGCTCCGATGCTAGGAATGGCTGCCTTCACATGATCCTTGAGACTAGTACACGGCTTGAAAAGCTGGCTGAGATTGACACATGGGTGGCATCATTGACCTTGGCCTTTGAGACTTGTGTTAGCTGAGTTGCAATCAGTTGATTGTTCAGCAGTCAGTCCATACAGCGATGTCGATCAGCTCTGGTTCCCCTTGCCACCTGTTCATCTCCCCTTCGGTGACCCAGTCTGTGAGGGAATAGTCGGCGGTGACGGACAGGGAAAACTCCACCTGGCGATTGCCCTTCGACGATGCTTGTACGGGAGCTTCTCCTCGAACGAGTCGATTTCACGAACGGATGAGACAGTCCGACAGCTCCATCAGTGGCTCTCCCGTTCCTCTCCGGCTGTTAAAATACAGTGTTCTTCTCCCTCTGGGAATAGTCTCGAGGGATACAATCTGACTGAGTTAATAGCGAGGAAAGTCGTTTCAACGACTGACGGCTCTCAACACTCCGCCATGCTTCCTCAACAGAGCGAGGTTCTCCTCAGTGGCCTTCTGAAACGCGAACGATTGAGTCGCTCAAGACTTAGTCCATACTGCTCTATATTCCATTTCTTCGAAAGCTCTTTTTTCGGTAGCCTTTCTCTCCTGAGATTCTCGGCACAAGCAACCGCTCTTTGTGCGCACTACGTCTGGCCACCCTTCTGGAGGCCAAATATCGTTGAGGTTAAAGGTGAAATGATCGCTAGTTTTTTGAGATGGCTGATTTTGAGGGCAAGAGATTTAAGTTAGGGAGATAAGCATCTGTGTACAGGATCTACAGGATAGGCAAAGAGAGTAAGAGAGAGGGTGGGAGACGACGAGGCAGGTAGTCACTTACTTGGATACTCAATCTACTCATGTTCCCTTAGAAGTCAAGACAATTGACATTATCGTTTTTTACTTTGTTCTAGAGTTGCTCGTGCGTTCATAATGGCTGTCGCTGACGTGAAGGTCTTTCCTCACATGGAGGATGCCTGGTCGAGGGCGGCTTTTGCTACAAGAGCTTACCACTTTCGAAGATATGGTTCCTCCTATTTGTTATCGAACGATTACTGTATGGTATTTTTTGGTCTAGATGGCAGCCGCATTCATTCATTTACACTCCGATACTCGGACAATAGAGAGCAGTCGCCTCACACCAAGCGAGCGACCGACATTCTGACAGCCCAGTTGCCAGTTGAGATAAGGAGACAAAACCAAGACTACCTTCACTTTCAACACATACCTTACCCATTTGCCTATGAGCCAGTCACATTCCCTGCTGAATTCCATTGTGGTTTAACATCTTCTCGAGCCAAGATAATTGTATATCTCTACATGAGTGTGAGAAAAATGTTACGTCTCCACGGTCAAATATCTCAGCGCAATGGACATCTTTGGCCCGCCACCAACTGTTCTAGCCCGCAACTGACTTTTTCCCCTCGTATATTGCATGGGAATGCTTTAAATGCCCTTTGTTAACATCTTGTCTATTTACTGCGCCAAGTTTGAGCGCTTCAGGAGTAGCCACAGCTCGACTCGAAGCATCATACTCCACTTACACACCACGTTCTTCCACATACGACCATACCCATTGGAAAATTCGGGATCCCGTCCGCTCACCCATAGACAAGCCAATGAGGGCCGGATTAGTAGTTGGGTCGGTGACGACCGGCGAATACCTGGTGTTGTATGTCTTTTTGGTGTTTTGGGTAGTTCGTTTCTCACGATGTGATGTGAGGCCCCATGGTGTGGAGCGGATGGTGGGCGACGATGTTAGCGGAGGAATCCCGTCGCAACGCCAAACGAAAGAGAACGCCTTCCCAGCTTTGATATCTGTTCTCGCTGATAGAGCCAGCTGTATCCACCTCCTCTAGCAACCTTGCCGTAATCTTCTCCTGGATTATTTTGCCCCCTTCGATGGCAGCCTCGCTCCAAGAACCAACTAACCAATCTAGATGACTACATAAGTCAATAATCATCACTGATCATGTCTTATGATATGCTTGTAAAGCAGTCTGGAGCCCCTCTTCAGTCGAGGCCTTGCCCACAGTCGGCTGATGAAATGCCTTCCGGTAGGGGTGGAACCATGGGTTGTTGGCCACTGTCGTTATTCCCTTGCCATCATCCCTGAGCTTCTCGGAAGGCCAGCTAGTAGTGAGTGTATTTCTCTCCAACTTTCTAGACGAGAGCCTGAGCTATCGTCGAATGTTTCGAGGTCGATTGTGAAAGCTAGGTGATGCTTGGACGTTGCCTTAATGTCGACATTCTCTCCAGAAGATGACGCTTCCATGTGATGAGAACATGCAGGCGGCAGAATAATCTTGACCTTCACTTCGATCTCGTTCTTTATCTTTGTTGAGAAGGCTGAAGTATCTGAATGGCCCAGGGAGAGATAAATTCCGGCGATGATGGTGGGAGCTGTCGGTGGTTGTCTTTGGTACCCATGGCTTGCCTCAATGAGAAATGACACGTAAACCAGAAGGATTGATACCCTTTCAGTTGCGGCTACAGAAGCGTCTCGATTCTGGTTAAGCTACAATGTTCCGCTTTGATGGACTGGGAGTACGCAATCGTTTCGAGATTTAGAAAGGCGAGTGGAAGCGGCGAGAGCTAGGCGGGCAGAGACCGAAACAGTCGCTAAACGGTACTTGGTAAGAGACGAAGGTCTTCAGGTAGTAAGAGTTGGTTTTCGTCACATTATATTGACTTTTTCGTTGGCGGTTTTCTTGGTTTGGTTCTATGACTATCAGGAAGCGCGTATATTGATACTGCCCACCTTGATGCCAATAGGGCGCTCGCCTCAAAAGGGGTACGTAGAACTGAACCTACTTACTACAAGTGACATATCGCCGGAGTTATCTGCTTTTTTTTTGGGGGGGGGGGGGGGGGGTGTTGGGGGGGTGGGGTCGCGGCGGTGGGGGGGGGGGGGGGGGCGCGGAGGAGATGATGGTGGCGCGGCGGGCGATCGCGTCCCTCGCCTACCCCCTTTGTGGCGGCCCCCGTCGCCCCCGTCAGGGGGGGGGGGGGGGGGGGGGGATTTCGGCAGTGCTGATGCGCGCGATGTAGGCTGAATGGATGCCCGAGAAGATAGATGTATGCCGTCACGGGGACTGATCCATCCGTCGCACGCTCTTTGGACAGAGCCTACGGTACCCTTCAGAAGGGAATGTTTGATGAGTTAAGCTAGAATATCTGGTACGAGTAGAAGTGAAATTATGTTAGCCCGATACTGTTCATAGTTGAAGTCTGACGGAGAGGTTCTCAACCGTGAAGAAGGTTGATGAGGGGATATTGCCGGTAAATCAAGGGGCATTTCTCATATGGTAAGGTAGCTAGCTACCCGGCTGGGAACCTAAGAGACCAAGGCATCCGTTTATTCAGAGAAATGAATAGTCATTAATAGATAAGCGAGACTGGAAGATATTTCTACCACGTGATTGAAGGCATCTCCAAGTCAGTGGTGAGGGTGTCAAATATTCCGGACCCACTCTTCCCTCTTGCCTGGAGTTGCCCGGTACCTCCTGCCCTCTTGCACCCTTCACCTTCCTACTCTGCATTCTGTTCTCCTCTTCATTTGATCTTCCCACAAGTCCTACTTTTCCCCAGAAAATTTGCAGTCTCTCTTCTCCAACCTCTGTCTGTGTGGTTTGGTTGCGACTCATCCCTGCCTTTCCCATTCTACTTTTCTTTCCGCACGCTCACCTTCGACTTATCACCTGCTCCGCAGGTCGCGGGAGATTCGATCTTGCCGTTCTTGCATTTCCATCATCGCAATCGAGGTAAGTCTGTTTCCTCCCTCAAAGTCTCTCTGGGAGCACCTGCAATCCGCGGCATGGCCTCCCTCGCGTGGATTCACGCTTTCGGGCTGGTGGATCTCCCTCTTCTTCGACTCGACTCGCTACTGTCTTGTCTTGCCATCTTCTCGGCTCGCCAAATTTATTGCCTGTCGCTGATAATCAAGAACGGAAGACAAGATGATCTTCCCGAAGAATCCGATAGCGAAGCCGCCATAGGCAGCGACATGAACGGATTCGCACGGAGCTCTGACTTATGGGGACTGGGACTAAGTCAAAGGTATGGATCTGAGGTTCCCTTTGATAATTTACAGCAAAGCTAATGGTATTGCGGCGTAGCCTCTGATCAAGCACGTCTTCTGATTATCCTGGAAGACGACCAGGCAAAGAAGCAGGGTCTTACAGTAAGTTTGGGATTCTATTCTTGACGTTGTTCGCCTGTACATGAATCTAACAATCCATTTCAGCCTACTCCCGTACTCCAAATCGCCATCGCGCTTCCATAATGCGTCATGAAGAAGCTTGGAAGATCAAGAAAGTCGCAATCCTTGGCAGCCGCCACAAAAACGTCGCAGCGCTCGTCAGGGCCTATGCCTCGGATCCCATCCACATCGGACTCTTGGTCAACAAATCTAGGCTCCAGGAAGATGGTCCCTCACTTCTAGCAAATAGAACCAAAGCCGGTATGGTCCTGGACATGACCCTAAACTGCCCCAGGTAGGTGACCTACCTGAGACTCAAAACAAATCACAAACATAGTAAGTTCTCCGCGAGCAAGTGAAGCCGCTTGGTTCTTCAACCCGTGGCACCCAATGGCTCCCGAGTACTGATGACTTCTAGTTTGCAGAATGCAAAAAAACAAAATCACAGATGGAGGCGTATGAGCAGATGCGGCATCTGCACACACTGTCTTGTCTTTCTTCGGCTCCCTTCTGGAACCCAATGGGTAGAGAAGAGGAAATGAAAACCACCGGCAATTTCAGATCTACACAAGCGAAATATAAGAGGCCAACAAACGCGAGTCTTTCGGGAAAAGTACGATGTTGAGGATTCGATATCAAACACCATCCCTCAGCCCAGCTCCCACACCCTGCCGGCCACCTGAACCTTCATCACCGATACCCTTTCTCGTCTTCAATGCCAACGCTCTGCTCATCGATAGCAGGCTCGCTCACTCCCCATGCGCACCACCGGCATCAGTCCCTGGGTCAACTCTCTCAACTTCGATAAATAGACCATCAGTCTGTCAAACGGGGCCATCGTGCAAGTTTCTAAGTCAAACCTGGTTCTGTTGTCGAATCGTCCTTTTTCGGGTCATTTCGGCTACGTAAGGACTCAGAAGGCTATTATCAGCTGGGCTGTTTCTGGAGAAGGACCCGGCGGAGCCAGTATGAAGCCCGACGCAGTTTTCTGCTTCTCTTTTGCTTCTCACCTAGTCTTGTCTGAAAACCCTTGCTCCTAGCCGAGCCGACACGAAGAAATCCGACAAGATGCTCATATCACCCGAGAAGAAATCTTTCCCCGCGACGAAGGTGCTCTTCTACTCAGCCTCTGCCTCCTGCTATCAATTTCCCCCTGAGAAGAAACGGTAGAAAACTGGGCTGACAGAGGAAAATATCGGAGCGGCTTTCAATGGTTGGAGAGACGGCATGCTGAGCTGAGAAACACTATCCCGACGAGCGCTTCGACCAAAGACAATGAACACGCTCAAATTGCACTCAAAAAATACTGATAGCCGATCCAATTATGGTACATCACTGGCTAGCTGATGCACTCAGAATCTCCATGCCACAGCGCGCAACGAGCGAATGTAGACGTTTACCTACACGCGGTACCAAACAACAGTGCATCTTTGGGCGTGTCATACGTCGGATCCGACTCATCATTGATGCAACAATCCTCACAATGCAGGATGAATGTAGTTGAATTGCTAATGCATCATCCTACGGTGCAATTGCAATTTGACTTTTTCATCCTCGCGATCAACGGTATGTACATCTATTCAACTTTTTGGTTGATTGCTATTGTACACCCCAGCACACCTCTCATTGGTCAAAGCTCACAAGCTCCTTCTGCAGCTTTACCCAATTTTTTTCCCCCCACTGGAGGGATCCTTCCCAACCAAGACTCACACCGAGACACACTCGACCTACCTGCAACACCAGCCTGAACTGCACAATAATTCGACATAGCACCGACTGCAAAACGAAGTTGGAAACCGATCGATCGCGGATCCGAGGTATAAAAGGAAAAAGAAACCCAGTCTGTGGCAGCAATCAAAAAAACCAAAAATCGAAGCGCCTGCCAAAAGAAGAGGAAAATGCCCCTCGACGACGACGACAATCCCACCGCGGCGCCGGCCGCGGCGCAGCTCAACAATGACTCGGGCGCAGGCGACGAAGCTGAGGACGAAGGTCTCTTCGACATGCGACTCTTTGCATCCATGTTCAACAAGAAGGGCGTCGCCTCGCAAGCCGTCCGTAAGGGTCAAAAGGACTTTGAGTCGCACGGCACGAAAGCCCAGGAGAATGCGTTGGAGACGAGCAGGCAGGTCATTGAGGAGGTGCTGGGATACACGAGAGTGCACAGAGATACATGGAGCAAGGGCTGGTACTTCCCGGACTACTGGCCCGAGATCATGGAGGCCATCGAGGATGGGGACACTTCTGGGTTGGCGAAGCCCGAGTATCTGCAGGAGTTCATGACTGAGACGAGGCCGATTTATGCCAAGGAGAGGGTTGTTGTCGTGGAGGAGCTGAAGGGTCCGCAGGCGAGGTCTATGGGCAGAGTGATTCGAGGACTCAAGACGCCGAGACCGGCGTTGGGAAAGCTGTGGCTGTTGCCCGAGGAGGCGCTGTTCCTTGTGGAGAGGGGTAGCTTGGAGCTTTGGTGGCCGTATCGCGAGCTCAAGGAGATTCTGCCGCCGTCAGAAGCGAAGCCCGCTGAAGAGCAGACAGATTCCGAAGACGCAGAACCCGAAGACGAGTTCGACGTTGGCGTACCCTTGAGCTTACAAGCCGCCTACTCATTCTTCATCGGACTGGACGGCGAACGGGGCAAGATATCACTTCCAAAATACCAAGTCTACTCACACCTCAGACGGTTGGGATACTACGTTCAACGCGTTCCGCCAGAACCTACAGAATCTACGCCCACACCCGAAGCACCGCAGAAATCACTGTGGCAATGGCTCGTCTCACTTCTTCAAAGACCATCGGCGGCGCCCGCAACGCCACCGCCTTACGGGCCCTTGGTCAAGCCGGGCGTCTATCGACAATATAGCGTCGTCTACAAACAACTCGAGCTCCTATCCCGCTACCAGCCATCGCCCGCACCTCAGGATCCCAAGCAAGCCGAGGATCCGTACAAGATCCATTGGCACGTCTGGAAGCCTTCGAAGCATCCCAACCTTCGTGTGACGGACCTACCACCACCAGACATCCGCATCGCTGTCGCTGACGCGCGCGACGACGCGATTCCGGATATTGAAGAGATTTCGGCGCTGCTCGACTCGACACCGTACGACGCGCCCGATCCTGTCTTGATGGGCGGGCCAGGAAAGCTGTACCAGCGCTTGAGACACGGTTACCGCAACGTTCTTGTCGCCGTCGTGGATCGCGGCTTGGTCAACTTTATGAGGTTCGGGCAGGCTGCATTTGGGGAGGAGAAGCTCTACGAGAGATTCGATAATCGGGGTGGGTTCCGAGGCGGCAAGAGGGGTGGGAGGGGTGGACGCGGAAGGGGAGGAGGCAGGGGACGGGGCCGGGGTCGGTGAATGATTGCCGGTCAATACGGAAATTTGATGTTGCGGCACGGGCTGGGGAGGAAGAGAGGCTCTCGAGGCGAGGCGGGCGAACTCTGGGACGGATACCTCCCAAGACTATTGTGGCATGTATAGAATGGAGTACAACTAGAGAAGCCTCATGGCTTGCGGCTCGTGATGATCGCCGCCAATGGTTGATAGATACCCTCCCTGATCGAGCACGGCTATATCGTTCAACGATGAAATGAAAGGACTGTCTATTACCGAGTTTCCATTTATGATCATCATAAACCGCCCCAGCCTCATCAAACCTTGAATTGTTTTCTGGGAATCCCAAACTTCTGGCACCTACTATAGAGGCTATGCTGACGCCAGTCACCACAGCTCTACAACCAACCCCGGAATCCACAACATAGACTTTTTCTCCCTTCCCGCCCCCAAAATACCCATTCTTTCTATAGACTATAACAAAAGCCCGTACAAGGGAAAAAGTCTGACCTCGCTCATCACCGGGAAGGGCATGTTATTACCGGAAAAGGTGCGTACTACTGACAGCCATATAGGCGGCAGAGAGGAAGCGGCTAAGATTCAAGACGTGTCTTCTAGTTGCAAGCAAGTCGCCGAAATGAGTCATGCTTCGGGGGAGCTTAGGAAGTTACAACGTCCGTTCCCTCTGAGGCCGACAGCACTCCGTACGGAGTGATGACTCGAGTTAATTTCAAACTAAACTTCTAGGGCTGTCCGTAACCTGCCTCAGCTATACTGAGTTACCATTGAATATCCTATTCCGTATCCGTGTAGACTTTACAAAGTGATCTGGCGACTCTTGCCATGGCCCGTGAGATTTGGTTAGTCATTAATTAACTCTAGCGCAATGAAACTCGCCCAAAAGTACGGTCGCGTAGTCCTTGGGTGCGCGGAACCAGCGCTTGTAGCGTGTAGCGCAGGTTGGAAGATCGTGTTCTTTGCGAAGTATGGTATCTCGCATCAGCTGTAATAATGCAGAGTACTCATACATTCGCGATGATTTGTTTACGTGCGCCCAAATATATCGAAGGACATACGTTCTCTTCGGCACCAACTGCGAAAACCTATAGCCTGAGGAAAAGGCCACAATCCCTGGAACCTGCCCTCTAAAAACTGATGTATCCACAAAGCAGAAAAAAAATGTTGTCGTCGATGCTTAAGAGTTGCAGGGGTTGTCCGCGAAAAAAACATGCATAGAGTTGCGCATCAGGAAGGCGGCCACACGAAGAGCCAATATTATAAAACGCTGTTTACATCTAACGGCACCGACCAATGTGCGACGTATTTGGCGAGAAGTCGGTCAGCACCGCCGCCGACCGCCGGCTGAGCTTTTTTCCAAAGTACGGACGCCGACGGGATTGTGGGGGGTGGGTGGTTTAGGCCTCTTTCTCTCTTGCAAGTTTGAGTGACCTGCCGGTGTCCGTAATCACATGGCAAAAGTCGTAAGGCGTGAAGTGGATGGAAGGGGGAAGGAGGAACATTGAAATGCATGGAAGGGCAGGGGGTCGGAATGCCATCCATGGGTTTAGGTTGCGCGCGACCATGGGGGATATTTCGGCGAGTACCGTGCCTTTGACTCTGGTGTTCAGCCAAAGATGTTGTGGATTTGTGACGGGGCTATAATCCTCCATGTGTTGGAAGTCCCCTCAAAAGCCCACCCATGAGAACGAGTTGGATAAAGTACACTATGAGCGAGAAACCCCCCAGCCAACAACA